CGGGCCGTGGGAACGCGCGGAGCGGAGCCGACTCACCCAAATCCGCGATGCAGCACTGGCCGTTCTTCTTCACGAGGATGTTCTTGCTCTTGAGGTCGCGGTGGGAAATGGCGGGCTTGCCCTGCGTGCCGAAGATCTCGATGTGCAGGTGCGCCAGGCCGCTGGCGACGGAGAGCACGATGCGCAGGCAGCTCACCGTGTCCAGCGTGGTGAGCTGCAGGTAGTCGTACAGAGAGCCCATCTCGTGGTAGTGCGTGATCAGCCACAGCTGGGTACTAGAGTTTCTGGAAGTCATATCGGATGCAATAAATCCTACAAAGAGAAGGGGGGGAAAAAAAAAGGAGGAACAGCAAAATAAGATGACAGAGCTCCTTGAAGACTCCTCCAAGAAAAGAATCAATACGACTGGGCCCCTCCTGCAGTTTAAAACTTTGTTTAATTTAAACATCTCCGCAATTGTACTGCACTGAAAACAGACTACAGGTACTACCAGGATGAGAAATGAGCTGACATAAGTCTGTTCACAAGAATGTATTTAGGTATTCTGTCAGACACACTAAACGACTACTTGTTAGGACCACATACTTAAAGAAAAAATAAAATAAAAATTAATTTTTTTTCCTCCTTCTTGAAGGACTTCGGGGTGGGGAAGTTTCCAGTTAAACCAAAAGACCACCAGGTTGTAGCACATCTGCCGCTGTCCGCTCAACCAGACCACCCTGGAAAGAGGCAACACCTCAAACAGGCGAGTGAGAGGTAATCACTTCCATTTTTACGGACAGCAAGCCGCCAGCGCAGGCTGCTGAGAAAAGGGTTAAACAGGTCTCATGCATGCATCCCATCCCAGTAAACAGACATTACATACTGTGCCAGCTTCACATCTACATCCCAGGTAAGTCTATTGGGAGCACTTCTGACACTCAGCCTTGACATGTGGGGACAGCAAGTTTTTGACATGTCAAGGCTGACTGTTGGAAGTGCTCCGAATAGTAATTCCACTTCAAATACTTGGAAAAGTGCAGTGCCTTAAAACCGAACCCAAAATTCAGGAGTGGCTCCCTTCCTGTTACCTCTGAATTGATTGTGTACCAGCACACTGGTGACCTCAATAGCTTTACCCAGGAAGCAACAAAAGTGTTATTCCCAAATCAGAAGAACAAATCATGTTTATTAAGAGCCCACATATGACATTTGTCAGAAAGAACACCCACTGCTTTCTCTCCTGAAGTCAGATTTCTGCACAATGTGGCACTTTCGTAAGTTGTGATATTGTTTAATACCACGTCTAAAAAAAATTCTATAAAATAGTCGACAAATTTGACAGTTATCAAGAAAGACTAAACATGGACAGAGGAATATGGGAAACATGTAATGCAATTTCAGCCAAGTCACTTGCTCTCTCAGGAAGCCAAGTTCAATAACTCACATTTCAGGAGGCCACCAAATTATTTTTGTCATAACAAGGGAACTGCTTCAGGAAACACTAGACAAACACCTAGCAGGGTGAGCTAGAGCCAAGGAATATTCTCTGACAGGAAACAAGAATAAGCAGCCCAAGTAAAACTGATTGAAGACAGACAGATTGCGGGTGAGGTAGTGTCAGCACTCACAAATAAAAGCAGCAGCATATTTTCTAAAGGTGGCACACCAGTGAAAGAAGGTCACGACCACTCAGAATCCAAAAGGCTGCTTAAACTTTGGCCATGGCTCACAACACAAAAAATCCACTTTAAAGCTCTCAGAACTGAGCACACAAGGTACATGGGACACAGAAGATTCAAAATCGTTGTACTTTCATATTCGCCGGGAATTGAGATACCTCATAAAGGGGCAACTGCAGTTGAAGTTCAAACACTGAAGGAGCTCAGTTTGACCCCGAGCAGAACAGTTAAACAGAAGAAAATAACGGATTCACACGGCACTTTATTCAGGCTCAAGAAAAAGTATTCCAGTATTCCAATCTCACTATAAACTCCTCCCCACTTTTTCTCCCTTCGTTTCTCCCAGGTACACTGAAGTTCTAATAAAACATAGATCCACCAGAACTTCTCCACCTAACGCATCGTGCAACACTCTTCTGCCATTTGGCTGTCCTGCAACAAGGGCTGCGAGGGTGAATTCCTAACACGCGTGTCTGTGGCACCTCCATCCTTCTCTGCACTCTGCTGCCAACAATTGGTTAGTCTGGTTGACGGCTTCTTGCTAGCATATTGCAGGAGGACAACGCTTCATGGTTGCTACACCACCTTCTCCAGTTCAGACAGATTTCAGCACCATCCTGCAAGCCTCCCCCTGAAAATTTCCCTTTGAATATTTATTGCAAACACAAGAACCTAATCTCAACGATTTGCAAGATGACTCGCAAATCCACAGTGCTTTGCAAGGGAACCGTTCAGTTAACCCACCTTTACACCAGCCACACGAGGAAACATGAACATGGTTGTTCTACCTACCTAAAATATTTTCATGCCGCAGCAATACAGTGTTGTACAATTCAGTTTCCCTGAACCAGGATTTTTCATCCCTAGAAGAGAAGATCTTCACAGCAACATTTTCTCCTTGCCACTGACCCCTCCAAACTTCTCCATAACGGCCCTTTCCTGGTGAGGGAAAAAACACAGTAAAAGTTGTCAACTAACAGTTTTCACAGGGCAGCAGGACAGGAGTAGCTGCTAGCACAGAAGCTCAGTCATGGCCCAAACACCACACTGATGTAGTTCCATCACCCCACGTACACTTTTTACCACTTTATAGTCACACTGTGCTCCACTGTCCCTTAATTTTTCCTGTTTGTTTCAACTGCAAGCTCAGAGTATGGATCTCTCCTCCTTGCACGTTGGTACAGTATACAGAGCCTTTGTACTGGGCAGGTGTAATTATTCAATGACCAGCAACGAAAGCACGGCACCAGCTTAAGCAACTTTGGCAACGTGCTACAAGGCCCGTGTACACAAATCCAGGAATTCTGAAGTTAAGAGGAGAGGAAGGATATATAATGCCAGGGATACAGCCTTTACATTTCTATTACATCATCAGCCCTTCCAAAAATGATCAGCACAGCCAGACATACAAAGTGCAGAATGCCGATTTGAAAAAAAAAAACCCACAACAAAAAACACACCCACCACTACCAAAAGAGCAACAACAACAACACCACCACACCCACAAACAAAAAAGGGGGGAAAAAAACCCAAACACAAAATTCAAAAAACCCACCCCTGTCCTGTTGAGAACAGGACATAGTCTGCATGCCAAGGTTTTTACCAAATAGCTTAGAAGAACGTAGGAAATTATCGAGTACCCAAGAGCAAAGCAACATCCTGGATAAGTCACAATGGAAAAATTCTGGTTCTTGACACTTCCATCACACCCCAAATACGATGGCCTCAGGCTTCATGCAATGAATTGTGCTAGATTTGACAACTATAAATATCCAAATTCTTTTTTCCCCTACTAGAATCAATCATTATCACGCCTTCCTCACCTCCTTAGTGCCAGTACAGCACCTTGGCTCAATGCCTCTGCCTCAGGATACCTTTGTCCCAAATGCTTCCTAAAATTACTAAATTCAAATTTAACCTTATTCAATTAATTTTATATATGTATATACATCTCTGAAGAAAAATGTAATGGATTCTTGAAACTAACACTGAAGTCCTGCAAAAAATTAAAGACCCAGAAGAGTTTTAGGAAAGAATTACTAGAAAGATTCTCTCTTTTAGGGGAAAAGAGCAACAGTGCATCATTGCCTGCACGGTCTCAGAGCAACAGTGCAGAGCAAGTAAGCTACAAAACATTTCCCATTCCAATGGCACAAAATCACAGGGGTCTTTTGTTTTGTTTTTTAAATGCCACTTTAGCCACTTTGCTTGATGCTTCAACTCCAGATCTCAAATCCAGATGATCCTTCTCTAATTCTAAAGCTTTCTAACTGAACATCATTTAATGAACAAATGTGTTTCACAGTTCGACAGTTTCAAACTTCAAACTGAGCTTGCTTTTCTAAAAGAATCGTTTATTTAGCTTAACAAAGTATCCAAACAAACCTAGTTGTTTGCATTTTCTAGCATCGCCTTACTGAACAAAGCTTTAATTTTTCAAAGCACAGATGATGTTTGCCCCTTTCTTCTGCACAGACCTCAAAGGAATTTTTTCACTTCACTTTCCAAAACCAAATATGTTCCATAAGCTGAAGCCTGAAATGTTTCATACAAGCAACTGAGGAAAAGCAATTGATTAGGACGGGAGACAAAGCCTTCTCTCTGCATGTGTTACCAAGACTTGGCCCTAGATGTGAACCAGATCGATACTAACCTACACATTCCACCAGCGTGATCTGGCGAGCCACCGTTCTTTGCACCAAGAAAGGAAGTCCAGAACCACTTCCAGATGTGCAGGAATGGTCCAATAAATCCTGTTCAAAAGTAAAAGCAGAAATTTACAACCTGTGAGAAACAACATTTTTCCCCCCATTTAAATACACAAGGGTACACCACCTCGCAGGACGGGTTAAATCAGAGCTCCTTGGTATCTCAAGGGCTCTGGTGATGCCATCTGGTCACTCAGGATCAAGACATACCATTGCCATCAGCGTACAGATGGACAGAGAATGCTCTTCCCAAGATTTTACCACTTCAAAGAACATCCCATGTGCAGAAGAGGCTGGTGGGGGGCTATAACTGAGGCATAGTCACTTTCTGTTGGAAATTTTACACACAACACAACAACGAACAGCAAACAAATCAAGCATCATTCCACTCTCAGATTTCTTATTCTGTCTCTTTTATTTGGCATTACAGTATCACTTTGTTTAATAAATAAACTACTGTTTAATAAATAAATTATAATAAATTCACTGCCTGTGAACCTGGAAGTTGACTCGCAGCCTATGAGCTACCCTCTGTAGTGAAATTCCACCCTTTTTCAGCACTTTGTTGTTCTCCTGCTTAGCCTATGCTCTCTCAATTCTGCATCCGTCACCTATTTCAAAAAGGTTAATATCAACTTTTTTTTTTACCCAAATTTTTTGTCTTGCAATAATCTGAGCCAGCTTAACAAGAAACAAGCTTGCTTTCTCTGATTTTTCCTATACCCAAGACCTTAATCCCTATAGTCAGCAGAAAGAAAAGCAGCATTTACTTTTGAATATTCCTGCAGACCAGTCAGCTGTGGTTTCTCCCAATTACAGATGCCTGGAAGGGCACAGCAACACAAACGTGTTTTCACCAACTAGAGCTCAGGTCAGTCTCAGCCCTACAGACCTGTGCTATCGGATACTCTCGAAATCTATTTCAACAATTCCTGTGAATAAATGTGCATTAGGAAGAGACATTCGGGACTTAAAATTTTTTTATTATTATAAACAGACTCTAGAAAGAGCCACAGCTGAAAGTTTCTAATCGACATGGCAAGACAGATAAACCCAACGCATTCCTGTGACACAGCTTGCTTTTTCAGCACCTTTTTAACTCGTGGCCTGCACGCAATTGGCGCTCAGCTGACCGTTTTGTTTGAAGTAACACGGGGAGGGGAGTCAGTCCTGCCGAAAAACCCTGCGGATGGGTAACTGGGGCCCGTGCAAGCGGAGCGGAGAGGTGCCAGCCCACAGCTGGCGTCCTGGGGCTCACAGGGCCCCTACGGCGTCCCTAGCTGGTGCCCCCAGGACGTGGGCTGTGGGCTGGCACCTCTCCGCCAGCTGTGGGCTGGCACAGGTAACAGCCATGGGAAGTTCTGGCCCAAAATATTCAAGTTCGGTACAGTGATTTATAACAGAAAACAGTTTTAAAAATCAACACAGTGACAGGAGTACTACCTGTATCACCTACACTAGGTACGTAACTGAAACTCCAGAAAATTTTCCGTGACAAGTCTTTCTTAAAAGTTTTTATCAGTTTCTGGTATTTTTAGTGCATGGAAACCAGACTTTCAACTGTAAGCTTACAAAAACAAGAGTAAGATTCTAAGTGAATGTTAAAATCCTATTAGCCTTTTAAAATACTAATACCCAGCTACTGTGGTGGCTAGGGCTCCCAGACTAGTTCAAAGCATTAACAACTGGCTACGTTGTATTACTGGACTTCTCTCTTTTTTTCTTTACAAAGGAAAGTAGGATAAAAAAAAAGTATAATCATAATCAACTTCCTAGTATTTCCAGCAAACCACTGGGTTTAACCAGACCCGATGAAATCTCCTTTCTCCTAACAATTTTTTAATGAGTGCTCAAGAAAAAGATAATTTAGGAATGACAGGAGACTGCCATTTTGCTTTTAATGCAAACCGAGAGCTCATTTTCCTTCCTACTTGTACCAGAAAGAAGCAAAAACCTATCTGCAGTGACTGTAAAAACAAGATTTGAAGAGGCCACAGCTCTTTCCATTTCCCATTAGGAAGCTTAGGGCTTTAAGGATATGCTACCCTATGAAGACTAATCCAAACTGTAAACTAATCTAATGTGTAACAAAGCCAGCAATTTAAAACACAATGGAGAAGAAAAATCTAGACTTTAAAAAAGACTTGCTGTTTAGATGAACGTTTAGAGACAAGGAGCTATCAAAATTTTTTGTACATCACCAACACTCAAGAGGCACAGCAGAGGCACTGCAAAGGTAAAGCTATCAGGGTCTGGTAGCTGAAAACAAAACAGCTCCATTAGACCAAACCTTTACAGTTGACAACTGCTTCAATTTCTTTTAAAAACAATTTTGATTTATTCTTCTCAGGTTTTATCACCGTTCCCAAGTAACATTAAATGACTTGAAGCGCAAAAGGTTTGCAAATGGAATGGCAACGGTCTTGCTGATAAGAGTTAAGAGCTGGTAAAAGCTGGAAGTCAGTCCCTGAAGACAGATAATCAGTCGCGCACACGCCCAGTTCATGGTGAACAGACCCAAACTGGCTGGTTTGAAATGGTAACACAGAACCTCACCTCCTGGCTAATTAAAGAGAGCCAAGGCATTATAGTAACCATTTCCAAGGACAGCTCACATAGGGCCAAGCTGAAGCAGAACAGCAGGGCAGGAGCAGGAAGCTGCTGCAGTTTGCACCACGCTGGATCCCGCAGTTACATGGAGTGCCTGGGTATTTCCAGATCTGAGGGGGAGGCAGTTGCCATTGCTCCACCTTACCAAGGAAGCTGGCATTTAAAAGCCAACACTGTTACCAGAGGCACCGCCCTAAGATCCCTCCAGATTGGTATCTTGTCTCTGACCATACCCAAAACAATGCCCTTTATTAGGTTATTACAAGTGGAGTGAACTGGGGGAGTAGACACAGAGGAGCATTAGACATATGGAAGTATTTAGGAGCACTGGGGTATTACAGTATTGGGATACTAGAAGGGAAGGGAATTAGAAGTGAATATGGGAATACTTTAACATACGTGATACTCTAATGCTCTCCCAGCCTCACAGAACATTCAGCTCAGAGACCTCCTAAGCTGGACTTTTGTATATATATTTTTTTTTTAATATGATTATCAACATACAGTCTTCTCATCCCGTTGCTCTTTGAACATATACAAACCTCTAGCAACTAGGAAAATCGTCGGGCAAGGAGTTCCACCGGTTCAGTTACCACTGTGTCAAGAACCACCTTCCTTATTTTTATCCTTGCTCTTACTTGCTACATTTTGGTGCCTCCCCCTGTCATCCTACCGCAGGAGGCGAACAACAGACTCCTGTCCATCCTCTCCTTACCACTGCCATGTTGTGTGTCTCCATCAGATGCCCCCATGCCCTTAGGAGAAGCAGGCTCTGATTCCTGGCTGAAGCACTGTTTCCTTACTTGCTCCTGACATAGGCTGTTTCAAAACCGCATACTGGGGCATCCAGATGACCAGGAGTCTGATTACTCAGTTTTAACCTGTTCTTCCTTAAAGACAAATCATCTCTGCTTCAATGGTATCCCTTACCGGTCAACTCAAACCCTGAAAACTTCCTCGTCAGGACATACTGTCCTGTGAGTGACAGTTTTCCACGTGACTCTCCAGCACTTACTCACAGCAGTGTTACAGAAACACCTCTGCCTCGAAACAGAGAGATGCTGGAAATAGTTTCCAGCTCCCCAAAATAGTTCCATTTTTTGAGCAGTCCCACAGATCTTTCTTTTAATAAATTCCCATAGCTGGGCCTGCAAAGTGGTTGTCAACTTTCACGTGAGGAGGTGCATCTGTTTTCTGGGGTACTACTATTTTTTTTTTTTTGGGACATAGTCAAAGCTGCTTCCTTAGTTGGTGGTAACCAACATTTTTTTAAGGAAGATATTGAAGGTTATTCCTCAAAGAAACACCCATTTCAGTTTCTCTCTCCTACACGGAGAAACACAGTCCAAACCAGAAAGAAAATACCTAGTCAGTGCATTTGGCAGCATATTATTAAAAATATTTGTGTTTTGGACCATTTTTCTTTAGCGACTTTTCAACCCTGCAGTGAAAGCAATTATGGCAGGAGAGCAACAAAATGGAAAATGTTTTCCAATCTCTTCATGTTGAAGAGATTCTATCTTAGAAACGCAAGAGAAAACTTCTCTTTGCATTGGTTTCAGAAACACTCGAGCTGCCTCCAAAGCCCTACCTGCTCAGTTTCGATAAAGCGTGGGAAAGCTCCTGGGAACACTTTTTTGTGGCCCCAAGTGAAAGGGAATGATACACTAAGTCTTTAAAAAGGAAACACTTCCCCATGTCATTTTATTTTCCAGAGACTGTGTGAACGAGAACATATTTTAAAAGCTGAATTTTAAGTAAGCAGTTCTCATTCATTCAAATTCCTACCACTCTTCTGTCAACAAAATGTCACTAATTTCCTAGTCATCCAAAAGCCCTACTCAGATCACAGGAGCCAGGTTTGAAGTTTTTAAAGTAAAAAATATCTGTATTTTCTTCTTCCCCTAGCATCACATCTTTCCCGATGTTGCAGACTGCCCTTCATGTATCAAAGATGCAGTACTTTTCTTTTTTTTCCTTTTGTTTTTTTACACCTTCCACATCACTTCAGGCTGCCCAACAGTCAGGCATGTTCTGTTTTGCTGTTCAGACATCGCTCCGAGGAACACCAGCAGTTTGACAACAGTTTATAACAATTATCCAGGTCAAAGGAACTGTATTTTCAAAAGCTATCTTTTGGTTGCATTTCATTCAAACTATGGCTTTGCGAGCACGGAACGCCACCACGGGAGCCCTGACGCTACGCGGTACGCCCCGGCAGCAGCAGGTCCGTTGTTCACGTGGCCCTGCCTGGAGGGCAGGAGAGGGCAGTTCGGAAGTGAAGAAAGCTCAGGCGAGTTTTCACCATGCACACAGGTTACTTACTGCCAACGTGCTGTCTCCAACATTTGATGCAATGAGTCCCTCGATTGTGCCATATTCTGCATCTCTGGAATTGAGCCTCTCCATGTGGTTTTTCTGTATTCTCCTGATGATCAGCACAGCTACTGCAGAAAAAACTACCAGCACTATCACGGGAGCCAGTATAACAATGATTAGTGTTTCCATGCTGTAACCTGCAGTTTCTCCTTGAAAGCTTTGCCCTTGGAAAGGAGAGCAGAGGAAAAAAAAAGAAAGAAAAAAATAAGTTTGCAAATTCCCAAGGAAAATCTTTAAAACCATTAGTGCTGACACCAGCATTTAACTTGGTAGCCACCTGGCCCGAAAGAGAGGCCACGCCAGAGCCTCTCTACACGCTGCGCAGTGTGCACTTACACGCAGGGTGCCACCGCGGGACTGCCTGCAGAGCGGAGCTGTCGGAACAGCCCCGGCCCCTTTGGAACAGCTGGCACCGTGACCGTGCAGCGCGCTGTCGGGCCGTGACTCCGCTCCTGAAGCCCTGCCAAAAAAAAAGCCTGCGGCGCTCAGACGTGCCACTGGGCCCCGGGGAGGGGACCGAAGGAGAAGGGGCCTTACGGTGCTGATGAAACCCTCACTGTCACCTGCGCAGAAACCCCCTCGCTCCCACCACATCGGATCGAAGTCAAATCGTTTTTCTCTCTCAAAATTCACTACTTACTAATGAACCTCTCACCTTTAGAAGATGGCAACTGCGCAGTGATGTTCATGTTGCACAGATATCCCTGGCAGCACTCAACAGCTTGGTCAGGAGACGGGGGCGTTTTGCACGTCATTTTCCCTTGTTCGTAGACTTGGAAGCAGCCTTTCTGGTAAACCTTAGCACCGTCGTTAATGCTCAGGGAAGCGAAGCACTGCTGGCCTTGGCAACGATCTCCATTCCCACAGGACATGCCTTCACACACACATTCGTAGTGGACCATATTTAGCTTCAGTTCATCGTCTGTAAAAGGGGAGAGTTGAGGGAAAAAATCCCTTCGTATTCTCAATAGCTTCAGTTACAAAGAGATAACGAAATTGTTAGACAATAAAAGCTTCTGTTGAAGAGAAGAAATACTACTTGCAGCTAGTGCTGAGGAACCACCAAGTAGGAGCTAACGATACTGATTTAGCTCTTTCAGCAAGACAAAGATAGGAACTTGCACCATCAAAGAAATACCAGTCATATCTGCCCACTCCATTTCCAGAGTTCCGTGACATTTTACATCGCCTCTCGCACATACACCACTGCTGGTATACAACACGGAGGGTCACCTACACAAGGACACTCAGCAGAGTGCAAAAAACCCAACAGTGTAAATTTAAAACAGATTTGCTAAAGCACATCATGTATCTATACGGAAATGGTTATTCTCAAGCATTCCGGAAATGACTACCTAAATCAAATTAAGGCCAGTTACGTTTGCAGTGGCACAGTGGGTTTAACTAGCCTGCTTGCAAAGTAAATGTGGATCAACTTTCCCAGGAAGACAGGCCTTTGAGGAGGTGCTTGCGAGTCTGAGTAACCACGGAGATAAAAAGCAAAGAGAGAAGCAGCCCAGTGTCAGCAGGTACAACACCTCCCTTCCAACTCCTGGTGCTTCTGCTACGTAAAAGGAAGAACTTTAGTTTCCTACTCTGTAGATTCTCTTAAAACTTCTAAGTATCCTCAGGAAAGTGTCCAGGGATCCTAAGCTGGGAGAACTCCCCCTCTCTGCATGGAGCCGCACACATCGCCGCTGTCAGGAACAGCATGTGCCTTTGAACGCGGCACTGGGTCACTCCGGCGTCCCCAGGAGAGGACTCCACTCTCGACTGGCGTGTCCCCAGGAGAGGACTCCACTCTCGACTGGCTAATGGAGCTGGAAGCTCCTTGGTTTTCTGGAAAATACAGGTGCTGCTGGTGGTAAACGGCCAAGAGCCCTCACAGATGGCCGAGAAGAGACACGGCTGCGAAGGACGGGACACGTTGCTGCTCTGTTACACACATCCCCTGTGTACACACGCACACATCCATGGCATCTTAACTCAAATTTACATTCTCTTTTTCAGTCCTATCACACAAGAAAAGCTTCCACCTAAAATAGCAGCTGAGCACACCATGTGTTGGACTGTTTCAAGCCTATCATTAGGGTCTGCCCACCGGGAATAGAACTCATTTTGTCTTCCTCTTTGTTTTCCTCCCCTCCTCCCAGAATGAACAAATACACAAACATAATTTTCCACTGTTGAACCACTAACAAAGTCAGGGAAAGAATCCTGAAAAGGGACAGCATCTGTCACATTGATCTCAAGTACTGGCATACACAATCCCACCCATACACATACCAAGTAATAACTTTGCTAATTTCGTGGAACTTTATAAAAAAAGAAAAAAATTTCTGCCAAACATTCCTGTAATCACAGTTCTGTTCCTTCTCCTCCCACAACAGCCACAGTAACACACAAGCCCTTATCTTGGTCCGTCTGCCTGGAACGGCCGGAGGCATTTGAAGCCAGAGGCCTGCACTGGGCTTCCTGCCGGGGCATGGGCACCACCTGCCCGCGGAGCACAAGACCCGCACCGTCGGCAAGCCCGGCAGCAGCGCAGGTTTCAGTGCCCCCAGCCAGCGGGACGTTT